GTTGAGGAGTCTCTAGCACCGTGACCTCTGATAAAGCCCCGAGCTTCATTCTGAGTGAGCCGATTTAACGAGTCATTATCATTCCATTTATGAATGACACATCATTTGCAAAGGCACTACCAAGAAGGAGAATTACGTGGAAGACAAGAACACCTCATGGTCTGTGGCACGGAGCACTTTATGAGCGTCTTATAAAGACCATGAAACATTTCCTTTATAAAGTCTTGCAAAAGTTGGTTTCAATGGACAGATAATTTGAAACTCTCTTCCTAGAAATCGAGGAAAGTCTAAATATCAGACCATTCACATATCTCGAGAAAGAACCCGACGAACTCATTATCCTTCTATCGATCGACTTCATCCAACGCGACATCATAACAACATATCTATTCGAAACTGGTGCAGAACAGGAAAACAACACGAATTATCCTTCACTAGAAGCAAAGATGCAACGCACAGCGCAGAGCACACGTGCTGAAAGAATCCTTACAGACGACCCATAAGATGACGGAAGAGTACTGGACTATCTGCACCCACACCAAAAGGAGCAAATCACACATTCTAACCGTGTTCACAGTGGTGTTAATTTACGAACCAATCAAATGTCGGAGTAAGTGGAAAATGGCTCGCATAGTAAAATTACCACAACCTGAAAGCGGAGCGATAAGAAAAGCGGAGGTGACATTAGCAAACAAACGCATTATCAGAAGCCCTGTCAAGTTAGCACTAGGAAAAAGAAGAAAAAACAAAAAACACACGATGCAGAAGGCAATATAGAAGGTCCTCCAAAGCAAGACCCAAAAAACGCAGAGCAAAACCGTACTATAAGCCCCAACGTCGATCACGCAAATGAACAGGCAGAGAGTATGGAGACTATTCTCTACACTGCAGAGAATACTCTAATCTGGTCAGCGGTTAGAAATCCCCTCCACAAAATCGGTAGCATTTGAGTATATCCGGCTTTCAGGTTTACACCTTAGCAATCGATAAGTGAGTACCAAATGCTAAACGCAATGATATAAGTGGGTCTCTGGCTCTGGTCATTGTTAGCCTCACTTCACTCCAGGTCTTAGCACCTCAGAGCTCTAACTTGTCTCATTCCTCTACCATTGCTTCTCTACTGTTACTATTATGCTATTAGTGTTGTATTTATGTATTAAAGGTTTAATTACCAAAGTTTGAGGTTGTTAGATCAACTACATCAGCTAAAAGACCCGCGTGGCTAATATTCTACATCAATCTGAACCGCTACACTTCGCCGCTAACCACTTCGTTACATGCATTACGTACATCCAACAAAGAATTTGCATTCCTTACCGTTACTAATGAAAAGATTTAAACGAACACCTTCCTTATGTTGATTATTCATATTTCGACTATAAGGAGGCGGATAGAACAATGGCAGTGGTGCCGGTCATTACCAGCATGGTGCCAGTTCCACTCTGCTCCCGGCCAACCAAGCTTCTCTCTCATCCCTATGAGGTTGGGAAATTGGTACCGGACTTGTCTGTCTGTCTGTCTGCAGTCCAGTTGGGAATACTCCAGCACGGCTATCTTAGGACTACAGGGAGAATCGACTCGAACAGCATTCTGCGACATTCTAAATGAAACGATATTCCTCAAGCAGCAACCGAAGCTACGCATAAAAACTTGGAAGACCTTCGTGGACAATGGATGCGAGGAAACGAATCGAATGTGAAAAGCGCTGGCATCCGCATAGTAGACGTGAAGACAGGTCATATAAAATAAAATAATAAAATAATGTTGATTGTATCTAGTCCTAGATTTCCTACCACGCAATGCAGTTTCACCATCTGGAGTCGCCATATTTTCTCAGCTTCTTATTGCAGAGATCACAACGTAATCATATTTTCGACTTTTGTGCCATTTTTTTCAGAGCATGGAAACCGACGACGTAGGAACATTATTGAGTTGATGATATATCAATACATAAATATATATTTTTCGCAGTTGTTCGTTGTTCAGTTTTGTGTTGTCGCAGTAAATCCCCAACGAGTTTGGTAAATATGCTTCAGTGAAAAGTGGAAGTATAGCCGTATAGACCTAGACTATGAGTAAAAGTGGCGGCATTAGTAATAAATGAAAGTAAAAAAAAAAGCGCGTGTGGCACAGTGATCGGAAGCGCCCTGCAACACACACGTGGAATCGATTCCCCGCCCATGGCCCGACGAGCCTTCCATCCTCCATCCCCATAGGGCCGGCAAATTGGTCCCTTACTCGTCTGGGAGGATAGTAGCACTGGATCGATATATCGGTAGGCCACTGCGAGTCATTGTAAAGACCATGTATGTATTCAATCACCTCCAAACGATGCTTAATGAAATCGAATGCATGGCGCATCCCTCTGGGACTGATCAACACCGACAACTTTAACCTTTTTTCGACTTTTTGAGTAAAAATAGATGCGCAAAACCAAGAAGAAAAGTGCGCCTGCAATTTGCCAGTTTTCCTAAGATGAGGGCAATGGACTGCCATCTGGTCACGTACGTCAGCGAACAAATTTTCATTGCTGTAACTGACAATCATTTCCAGTTATAAAATTGATCGTATCATACAACGTGCATAAATTTAAAGCGTTTTTTGAGCTTTCGTTTTCACGGCCATCAAAGACTAACTTTCACACAACATTAGTGTGTTTGGTAAAACGTCGCTAATCTCATAACCAACACAATCATAGCCTTCTTGCTTTCCGTTATCCTCCGATTTGGCATTTTTAGACCCCGTAGAGAAGTAGAGAGGACTTTTCGTAGTAAGAAACCTTTGAAATAAAGCTGAGTCCACCTTTCGAGGAAAATTATGTAGCCTTATAAAATCCATCTTTTGACTAACATGTGGCAACCCGTTGCTTTGCAACCGTTGTCACGAATCATAGGAACCGTGGAGAATTGGCAGGAAAAGAAGTATGGAGAAATACATCTCAAATATCACATAAAATCTTGCCAACTCTCGGTAGCACTACGAAGAAAAGGGTAGAGGTGTTTTTTTTGGTTAAGGTGACAGTTTCCTGGTCGCATTGCTTCCGATGCACATCACCGGTGACGAACTACTAGCTGTCATCCCAGGCGACCGCCATAAAAAATAGAGCGTCTTCATAATCTCATAAAGACTATGAATGTTTGCTTAACGAACATTGCACTTACGGTGAGAAAGGCTATTTTCCTGCTCTCTCTCCCTCTCTTCACTTAAGTTTAGCTTTTCTCATTAAATTTCTCAAGCACGTCTTTTTGCTGAAAAACTTGCCCTAGTATTGAGCGTAATCAAAGATTTTTCAAGCAGTGCAACAAAAAGCTGATGGTCTAAAAGCTCTGGTTTCATTTTCCTAGCCGCTTAGTCTCTTTCCAGGATGGATGGTACTGCTCGTGAGGAAGTCTTGCCATAGGTATCAAATATCTAACGCGAAACTCCAGGCTTGGACGAAGTAGCTGCTCTGATCATCAAACATTTATTAATAAATTATCACATCCAGACAGAAAGGTGTGGTAATAATCCATAAAAATACTCCTTGGGCTGGAGTCGCTAACTGAAGCAAAGTTTTCATAAACATCTGGCAAACCTATACCTTGTTCACCGGCAACGAAATCGATGATCGTTTCACAATAGGAATTAAAATATGCTTATTAATGTTTGAACACTTGTCTTATCGAGAGGATAATAGAAGATTTTGAAGGGACGAGGCAATATCGGAAAGCACTCAAGCAGTCGAACTTATCACAGATAATCCAGTTCGTACGCTCACTTTATGGGAAACCTAATGGGAAATGAGCCATGGCGCAAAATCGATACAATAGCTTAAAATTATCTTCAAAGAGAAGAATTATAAAAAATTCAAGGGACATTTAAAAAGGGATAAAACATGTATGCTTAGGACGCCGCGCTCATAATACAAGAGTATCAGGAGATCATACAAATGCTAAGCAGGAAAATTAAGATTAAATCAAACGCCCTGCTTCCGTCGTTACAAGTACACAAAAGGAGCAGCTCGTACACGCATTTCATCAAGCAGACCTGGAAGAGGAAGGTGACCGAAGCAACCAGTTGGGCACGGCTGGATACCTTGAACGGATACAGGGCCATGCCGACTGCATGTTCAATCGCCTTCCAAAGAATCCAAAAAATAAACGGTTTTCTACGCACGGCCGTCATGCATTATCCTGAAATCATTTGTTTGTTTAAAACATTGGCAAGGATGCCCAAATACTTGCCGTCTATCGGCAGTTTCCCAATAACTAGAAGACTCTAGAAATTGCAAGTTGCATTCTAGAAGTTTGGAGTTCGTGTGAACTTTTTATCGATGTAAAATAAAGAGAACTCCTTGCTGGCAAAAAACTACAGGTTCTAGCTGCCTTGATTTTCATTAATAAAAATCACTAAGAGCCGACAAAAGGGCGTGTGTGGCGCAGTGGTCGGAGGCGCCCTGTAGCATACACGTGGAATCGATCATCGCGCCCATGGCCCACCAAGCCTTACATCCTTCCGGGGTCGGCAAATTGGCACCAGACTTGTCCGCGAAGATAGCAGCATTAGCTCGACACATCGGTAGGCCACCGCGGGCCATTGTAAAGGCAAAAATTAGCATTTAATCACTTCCAAAGGATGCTTAATAAAGTCGAATGCATCGCGCATCCTTCAGAGATTGATCAACGTCGAGAGCTTCCCTTTTTGAAGAGCTGACGTATGACTCCTTAATGTTGAAAGAGACAATTATTTCTGGTCACGTTTGAGAACTATATGATTCATGTTACTGTGACTCTGTAAGGAATAACAGCAAGTGTGTCGGATAAACTAACAAGGAAATTACAATGAGACATGACACAATATGTTACTGAGCATTTTGTTCGAATGCTACTTCTTCTTGCAATGGGTGTATGAAGTCATGAGAACAATCAGTAGCACAAAATAATATAAGCTAAATTTAAATAAGTGCCCAAATTTGTTTTTTAATAGACTATCTTCAGAAGAAACTTGAAAGTCTAACATACCTAATGCACAACAGGAATATCCGAGTGTTCTTCTGTGGTATTGACCATATTCTGCAACTTCTTCATCTGCATAGCAAGTTTTTGATTGGATAGTTCCAGCTGTCGTACACGATCTAAGAAATAATAGAGCTCACAATCTCACTGCATATGAATAGACAATGTGTTCGATGATTCAATCCAACACGTTGGTAGGATATATATATATATATATATATATATATATAATTTTACCGTGACAGATTAGGTGAACTTGTGTGCTCTTAACGATTCTCCCTTCCGAAATTGTGCAACATAAGCACATCAATATTAAGGAGAACAACACATCAGAAATTACGGCAACACATTTTGTTGGAACTCATTAACCCAATTCTGTAAACCCTCTTATTTTACCCTCACCGATGCGCGATGTACATCACGAACCCTGATTTTTGAACGTATACAGATTTCGCTACCTTACATAAAACATCTATACCAAAGTGTCTTGTCAACAATACATGTCATCAGGTAGACAAGTTTTGTTGAAGAAAACGAACAGAAATGTCAAGAAAAGACTGTCACCTTACTAAAGGATCTCTTTGCAAAGAATAAGAAATTAACACAAGTAGAAAAAACCATAGAATAAAGGTGGAAAAACGAAAACCCACTTTTCAGTTGACTGTTTTCATTGAAGTAAGCCTGGCAACGAGATTCCAAGCTGTCCATGTATTCCTTGCGCTTTCGACGCGACTCCTGAGCGGAGAGCTGCAAGATGGTTGCGAAATGCCCAGCATTACGAGGATTTTAGTCAAGGAACATGTTTTGAATATGAGTTGGTATCATTAACAACAACGACAAACAACAGAAAGCACCATCTCAACGGGAAAGGTGACAAGCCAATTATGGAATGTAAACTGAATCAAAACATAGGACGGGAGCAGCGGTTGATGGTAACAATTCAAAAATAAGAAAAATTCTCTGGAGTGCATGAAAATAATGTGGATTGTATTGAAGAAGTACCTTATTTTTAATCTTCCTGCGCACTATTTTCAACGATTCTTCCTCAGATTTGGATAAGGGTAGTCGTGTGGGAATCTTAAAGCACCCAAAGTGAACAACGGAAAGAAAGGTCACATAAATAGTGCTCATACACCCTTGTGACAAGATTAATCAGAGCAATTAAAAATTTCGTATTTAGATGTTACGATTGAAATATTCTACATCAGGAGTATCTACAAACTTTTTCCATAAATGGTGAATTTAGCATTAATATCAAAAAAGAGAGCGAGAGATACCGGATAACCCTCCTGAACCAGTGTTCTTCGTTCTTCGGCAGAAAGTTGAACCAATCCTTCGCTACGGGGATCCTGGCAAAAAATTAAGTTCCACTAAATAGTGATGCAAAGTATAGCTAACGCTAGGAATTCTCAAGAGATTTGTATAAGATCTTGGTATGGAAAAAACGTTAGTGAGTGCTGTGTCCCGAAGAGTAGTAAGCTGTAGTACGATACAAACAAACTTGTTGGTGATGAAAATATTGATCTTATGCGAAGAACAACAGGGCGGGTAAAGCACTGATAGTAATGCGATTCATCAGGAGCACCACGGTGCTAGTTCCATCCCATGCCTAACTTGTCAAACATATCTATTTGGGGTGGGAAAATTGGTACCAGACCTTTCTGGGTACACTTTTTTCCTCGCAGTTTACGTGCGAACGTACTGTCACGCCTGTCTCAGGACTCCAGAAAAAATAATCTCGGCCGGCATTTAACGACAACCAAAACGAAGATCAAAATCCCTAAGCAACAGCTGAAGCCGAGCCCACAAGGAAAAGTTCGAAAGCTTTCGTGGATAATGGAAGCGCAGAAACGAATGGAATACGAGAAGTGCTAGGAACTGCGCAGTATACGTAAAAAAGAAACATGTAAAACAAAAAAAAAGTCTGAAGAACCTGATCAGTTATAAGCTGCTGTCGAACAGCTATCTCATGCATTTTGTTTCGAGATTTTAGTTGCTGTTGTGCGGATGAGAGATTGTTGATCGCACCTACAAAGACTGGAATGATAACCCTTTTATGATGAACTTCGGGTAGATACACACCATTGCTGCACGAGAAGAAACATTCTCTAAATCCACCATTCATCATGTTTTCTGCAAGCTTTCCATTCGCTGGAGTACTGCGATCTGACGTTGGAGGAGAAGGAGTTCGCGCTTCATGTGCTTAATGGACAGTTCACCACAGAGACATTAAATTACGATTATAATCAATATGCGATGCAATGACCTCATTTTCAAAGGGCGACAAACCAAAAGCAAACATAAACAATCCACAGACCATCGAAAAATGCAGACGAATCCGGTGTAGCAACAGTGTAAGGGGTCACAGATGAGAACGCATGATGCAGGTTTGGAGGTGACACGATTTGCTGTGTGTGACGCCTTTGATTAGGCAGCTCTTGCTGGAAAATTATAGCTGAAGAACTGACTGGACACGTTCTTATGACACAGAAAGACATAGGCATTAAGATTTCGTTAGTAATTTACACGAAATGTTCCATAAAACTCGAAAATTGGCATTTGGGCCAGTGAATATAGCGCGTTATTTCCACACTAAGGTCAAATTTGTTGGGTATCAAGTACTTGTTCACCAAGACTACTAACAAAACATTATGCTCACGAAGTTTACGACATGATTCCTCCATGTTAGCTCTTTTTTTGAGGTGGTCACAAGAGGTTCTTCCTTTTCTAATTTTCCTCCTTAGGTGGTGTACTCAGAACACTTAGATTGAAGATATATGCTTATTTATTTTAGGGTTCAAGTCTCAAGCAATAAACTCATAAGATTTTTTTCTGCGAATCATTTTCTCCATGAGTGGTAATAATGATTATGACGTTCTCTTGATGTGGAAGTTGGAGATTGAAAACGACCAAGCGGTGGAGGTAGAACACGGGACAAATACGGACTAACGGGTAGATCTGGAACAAAGATAAACTATCGACGTTTTCTAAAAGACACGCATGTCGTCGGTCTTCTTGATAGCGTTGTCCTTCATATATTTTTGGTTAGCAAAGAGGTTTCGTTAGTGGAGGATATTCTGGCCAAGAATATTGTATAGGATGAGCGCTTAACGGTGTCAATGAAAGATCTGGTGTTTCAGGAATAAGGGACAGCTTCAATCTAGGCGAAGCTGCATTCTTTATAAAAAGGCAACGAATTTTTTTATTAAATACAACAGCCGATCAATCGGACATAGCCTCGTATTGTTGTACCATGACTAGGTTTCCTCAACGTAGTGCCGATTTCTGCCATAGGGTCATATATGGGAAAAATTCCAGGCACTATTTTCGCTGTCGAAGTGTGAAGCAAATCGTCCATTACCTCTCCTATGTTAGAAAAACTCAAAATGTCATAGTAAGTCTCCACTTGTCCTTGTCCCCTACCAAGACCTTAAAGTTGGTCCCATTCTTTTAACAGACATCTACTATTATACTGAGAAAGTGTCGTGCGGTGGCTCTCCAAAGACGGGGTTGGCGAGGATGGGCACACAAAGGAATACCTGATAGGGCGAGATATCGTCAGTCCAGTAAATGGGTTGCGGGCAATGGGTTGGTTCATCACCTGAATCCTTGTTCAAGTATTTTTATGTTCGCTTTTGGTCAGCATTCACCCCTGTACATCTACGTTTATACACATTTGATAACTTCTTTATTTAGAAGAGGAATTATAGTTGTCTTCATGTTCCACAGACAAAAAAATTCAGTATCGAAAATGGTGAAATCTATCCCTTCCACAGAGCAAAAGCTATGATGTTTAAATGTTAAATTTTTATTTTCATTTCCTTTGTAATAGGAGCACCGCAAACGGGGTGTTAGATATTAAAGAAAGACTAAAAGCGATCCAGTGTGACAATTTCCCCCAGATAAAGATGAATTCAGATGGTCTGCTTTGCATATATCTTCTGTGTATACGCTACATCCATGAACAAGTGCTTGGGCATAAATGGTCTACGCGAATCGTATGCTGCGCACTGTTTACGTCGATTTGATCAAAACTCTGTATTGATGAGCTCATAGGGTGTTCAGACTGAGTTTCTCACCAACTCCGGAAGTGCACGAAAAGCAAAGAATGTATCAAGACTCAAGACAGGAAAGCACAAAAGTACACTTAAGTATGATCTGAATCTAGGTAGGACGGTAGGACATCATCAGGAAGAGTGAATACAAAAGGTGCGAAGGTTGGAGAAATTATGGTAATAACCTCGTGCTCCGGATTCACCAAGCCTTTCCCTCCACGGTCGGCAAACTGGTATCATAGTTGTCTGAGAGGATAAAAACACTGACTTGGTACATCGGTTAGCCACCGCAAGTGTAAGGGCCATATATACATTCAGTCACCTCTAACGATGCTTAGTGAATTCGAATGCACGGCGCGTCCCTTAGGAATTGACGAACGGGGAAAGCTTTACGCTTTATAGTGATGATTTGTACAACACAAGCACGCCAACGTTAACGCTGCTTGCACTGGTAGCGTTACTATTCAAGCCAAGGTGAGCAAGAACGACGTTATTAGACTGAAATGAAAACCGCCGACCAGATGTCGTTTATAGGTAAAGAAGAAGCGTTTTTCGAAACAGTGTGATCGTTACGAATTCGACATCGTTGGTGAAATCGTTAACACAACCTTATCCAAGAATAAGGGTTCCCTGAACAACAAGTGGCATTCAACGGTCATTTACAGGTGAAAAAGCCTGAATCAACAACGACCATCACAATCTTTGTCACCTAGCTCCAAAAGGCAAGAGAATGAGACATTTTACATAGAGCCAAAGGAGTTCTACCGCCAATCTCAGGCACAAGGTAACCATTGGTGATTTCAACGCTAGAATTGTAAAAGAAAACGCAAGAAACTTCACTTATTGTGGGGATTTTGGGTTGACACTGTACTAAGCAAATCAGTAAATAAAGGATAAAGGGTAAAGCTCTTAGCGTTGATCAATCCCTGAGATATGCGTCATGCATTCGACTTCATTAAGCGTCGTTTGGAAGTGATTGAGTGCAAACCTGCCTGGATTTGACAATGACTCGCGGTAGCCTATCGATGTATCAAGCCAGTGCTAATATCCACCCAGAAAAGTCTGCTGCCAATTTGCCGACCCCGGAGAGGTGGAAGGCCTGGCGGGCCATGGGTGCGGGGATCGATCCCATGTGTATGGCGGGACGCGTCCGCGCACTGCGCCATCACGCGCGCTGCAAAATCGGTGCGGAATACAATTGGCTCCTTTCACACATTCGCGATATTGCTTTGAAAGCCAAGCTCGATATCCACAAAGTGGTTTCTGTTTCCTATCACTCTCCAACTGATACCTCAGAGTGAAGCTACGTAAGTAGCCGACAACATCCTAGTTAAACCAGAGCTTGCGAATTTTCACCGAGAAGCTGTTGAACGAATATTAAAAAAGAAAAAGCAAATCTGCTGTATAAAGCTGCTGACGTTGGTAATACTAATATCAATTCCCATTTCAATAAATATGAAAGGAAGATGTCGGGGGACAGGCTATACGTAACAGCGCGACGGAAAAGAGTTTAACCGTTTCCGTTCAAGTTACTAGATAAGCAACGAGACAATAAGTGATATAGGCGAGATTACATTTTATATATATGTATATGAGTATTAATATACATCCAAGGAAAATCGTCCGACGGCTTAGTTTTCATTCAAGCGGTGTGTTATTGAATTGGCATTTTTTTCTAGTCTCGAGAAATTTGAGACAAGACGTCGTCAGGTCACTTCCAAAGTCATTTGCTGGCGCTTATCGTTTAGAGGAAGAGTTGTCGCTCTACGGTTAGGAAGGCTTAGAGAATGAGTCAAATGCTATGAACAACCAACCTTCAGTCCACTAATTAGCATCCGTTGTGTTGGTTTAAATCAGTTCGTTATTACAATGTTAACCTTTTATTTACTGCCTATAATTTTCCACGGCAGGGTATATGTTTGATTCAACCACAATGATGCTCAGATATTTGCAAAATTTTGGACTGCAAAGTGTCTGAGGTGGAGAACAAACGCGCTATTACCCTTTCCGGGGTCTAACGCGTTCATCACCACGACATGCGTGTCGTTCGTTTGGCCTGGTTCTCAGCTAGCTCTATCGATCAGTGCCCTCAGCAATCACCTGTCAACGGGATTAATCTAGGGAGCTCATATTAGTAATGAACCCTGTGAAGCCAAGTCGATAGTCGAAATCACATTGTTAGCTTTTTATTTACTGCCTATTACAATTTTCCACGGCAGGGTACTATGTTTTATTCAACCACAATGATGTTGAGATATTTGCAAAGCCTTGGACCGCCAGGTGTCTATAGTGGGGAGCAAACGCGCTAATGGTTTGGACTACCTAGATCAATTCCGTTGACGGGTGATTGCTGATGGCACTGATCGATAGAACTAGCTGACAGACAGGCGAAACGAAGGACTCGCGTGGTGTGGTGATTAACGCGTTAGCCCTCGGAAAGGGTAATACCGCGTTCGTTCTCCACCGCAGACACCTGGCGATCCGGGGTTTTGCAACTGTCTCATCAGCATCATTGTGGTTGTATCACACAATCCATTTTTCGCAAGAACATAGACTGTATGTACTTTATCAATGCTTAATTTCATACTAGCACAGAACTATTCCGGCAACCACTCATTACGTAACATTTAGTGAAATCTCACGTCGTGAAATTATCAAAAACATTCTAGGCTACCAATTTTTTGTCATAGAACATAATAAAACTAGAACCTGGAGTAGTGGCATTTGATGCGAAAATTGACTGACAGGTGGAAGAGGACTGTGACACTCTGTGGTACCTCCAGATGAGAACATCTGGCCAAACGAACTTCTGAAACGGAGAACGTGTAGCACGCCTTCTTCAGCCACATTAGTAAGGACGGTGTTCTATCAGAGAGAATTTAAGAACAGAACAAAGTATCAAGCACAGGTTGATCACTATTGATTGGTGCTCAAGCGGAGGCAGGTGTACAAATAGCGCTCGCTAATTCACACAGTCGAAAAATTCAATAGTGTAAGGTACTGCAGAATTAAAATTGCAAACGACACATTTCGTTGGAAGTTGTTCTGCTTCAAAGAAGTTGGGCAATAGCTATACAGAAGAATGTGACCTTTCCACATTTAGCAGCGCAGACTACACTTAAACAAAGGATAAAGCTGTCGGCGTTGATCAATCCCTAAGGGACGCGCTATGCATTCGACTTCATTAAGCATCGTTTGGAGGTGATTAAATGCATATCTGGCCTTTACAATAACTCGCGGTGGCCTACCGATGTATCGAGCCAGTGCTGCTAATGTCCCAAACAAGTTTGGTACCAACTTTCCAATCCCGAAGGGATGTGAGGCATGGTGGGCCATGGGCACTGGGATCGATTCGAAGTGTGTTGCAGGGCACTTCCGACCACTGCGCTACACGCGCCCTACACTTAAGTGGACTTAATGTTGAGCATATCAAGGAAGTGTTAAGAGTTTCTTTAAAACGTAAAACGGTGGCCTAAAATGTTCTATGCATTGAAAAAAATGATTGAAATTAGAATGCAATAGTAATAAAATGAGAGTGAAAGACGGGGAGTATTGAATGAACAAGATGAGGAAATAAAACCATCACTGGCAAAAGTATCTTCCATCCCCCATTTTTTAAGAAATAATTTTCTGAAATAGTTCCAAGGTTGGAATCTACAAGCACTATAGTTAAACTTTCCAAACTGTGAGCAAATTTGGCTCACAGACGTTTATCAGTGGGCTACTAGACGGTAACGCTAATGTGTAACCTTTCAGAATAAAACATCTCTTAAGTTTCTTTTAAGTTAAGTATAGTTAACGCATAGGAAGAAGAGAACAAACTTACCCATTACTGTTAGCCGGACTATGAAGCATCGGATGGACGTTACCAGCAAATGGCATACTGAATGAGAGATCGACGCTCAAACTATCCTTCATATCCGGACTTGACAGCGACGACGATGGACTCTCGGAAGTCGAACCGTGATAAACTAGAAATACTAGAATATATTGCTCGATACTTGAACAGTCCGTTTCCATTTGTTGTGTGGGCCCCAGTATAATCTCCATTTTTCGGTGATTTGCTAGTTGAATCATTGTGGTTGGCTGGAGTGCCGGGGTCAGCCTGGCCAAAGTCTGCCCCATAAAAAGATATTACCCTTTATAAAACAAGTCGAACAGTTTCATCCTGAACATAGAAGTGTAAGGGTGTAATGAGACGATGTATCTTTTCTAAATTCGCAATCTTCTAACTGGTAATTCAATGGAGAACGGACCACAGCTACGAGCTATGCAGCCGCCTTTCCTATGCCGCAAGAGAAATGAAATAATGCTCACATGGCGTAAAAACTATTACAGTGCCAAACACTTAAAAAGTCGGAAACCAACGAACATTTGTGGAAACTCAAATATTCAACACCAGGTTATTCAAATACTTCGATTTGTCTAGGGCTTTTCGAAGAAGCTTACACATCATGTCCAACACATTAACTTCAATTTCATTGTGACAGGAATAGAATTCTTAAACGTCGAACTGCAAAACAGATGGAATTATGTAAAGAAT